GGCAGCCCCATCTCCAGCTTCTTTAACGGCTCCGGTACCAAGCGGCTGCCGCAGGCCATCATCATCGGCGTCAAGAAGGGGGGGACGCGGGCGCTGCTGGAGTTCCTGCGGGTGCACCCCGACGTACGCGCCGTCGGGGCCGAGCCTCATTTCTTCGACCGCAACTACGAGCGGGGACTCGCCTGGTACAGGTACGGGCCGGGCCAGGCCGGGAGCGGCCCCGCGGCGGGACGGGGCTGAGCGGTGTCCCCGCCGTCCTGCGCTCGCCGTCCCGGTGCGGGGATGCGGCCGTCCCGGGCTCCGGAGCAGCAGGTTGGGGAGCGCCAGGGGCGATGAGTTTAACTAGGATTCCACTAAATGCTTACCCCCGAAAAAGCAACCCCTAAAAATACAATAAACCCAGAGCACAACTTGCGGTCCCCGTTAGCCCAGGCGGCGGCGGGGCGTCTGCAGGTTTTCCGCTAGCCAAACCGTATTTAATCTTTATATAAAGGTTGAATATTAATTTAATAATTTTAAACACTCTTATTTCGCTGTACTTGCAGGTCTTTTGCTGGAGAGTATTTTTGCTCCAGCTCAAGGTGCTGCTGCGGGATGACTGGTGTGTCTCCCGGGTCTGCATCGCTGGCAGCCGGTGCGCTCAACGACCGCACTTTTGCGGGCATTTTGACCCGTTTGGTTTGGTTTTTTTTAACCCATTGGAGTGGGATTTGACCCGTTATCTTTTTTCCCCTTTTCTATATGGGGAAGGCGAGGTGGGGAGGGTTTACCCGTTTGGGATTTTTTTGACACTTTTGGAGAGGGTTTGACCCGTTCCGGTAGCGCTGCCTGGGACTGGCAGGCGGCAGTTTCAGATAAAACCTCCTCATTCGCTCCCTGCCTTTAGTCTCCGTTAGCTTTCTCCTAGCCCGTACTCATCTCTGGAGCTGATCGGTTGCCCGAGGTCGCGATCGCCAGCCCAGCGCTGGACGGCGGGAGCGGTGTGGGGTGTGGTGGGAAACGGGCGCGTCGGGAACGGGATGAACCCTTTGGATTGGGAGAAAATTATAAATTTCTGGCTAGCATCTTGTAAGGATGGTTGTAATTCTAAGTGGTTTTGCGAGGAGCAGCCCGGTCCGGGATGTCTGCGTGCGGGTGGGCTCGGCGGAGCGGACGGCGGGGGGTGCGGAGAAGAGCGATCGGACACCGAGCGAGGGGCGACTCCGGTTTCGGTGCCTTTCCCGGCCTTTCCCGGCCTTTTCCGATTGAACTTCCTTATCAGGAGTACTTTGAATATGTTTTTCTACTGAGTGTTTACAGGAAAGCTAAAGGAGCAGAGATGGAAACTTTGAAGCTAGATGGCAGCTATGAAGTTACGAATTGTAACCTCTTTGTAGTCTTGAAACTCCCACCAGGCAAGTCCAATTAGGTTTCTGTCTCTTTTTTTAATGTTGCCATCCCTCAGCAGTTAGTGAAATGAGTGCAGGATAAGATCTGATGAGGAGGAAGTAATTTTTGAAAGCTGTTTCGTTTTAAGAAATTCTGTCGTCTCGGTGTAGGATGTGGTGTGTTATCCCACAGCAGCACAAATGGAACCTTTGTAAATTCAACTGAGTTTTAAAAAGTATTCATCTTGCATTTTGATGGAGAACTTGCATACAACAGAGCAGAAAACCTGTCAGGATTTATTAGCAAAATGGTGTTGTATGTGTTGAACTCTGTTTTTAATTAGGCACCTAAATTAGACCATGAAATGGTTGATTAATCTTTTACAAGTAGGAGGTGGAAGGGGAGAAGGAGAGAATAATGCTTATGATTGAGTTCATTTGTTATCCCAAATGTAGTGGGTGAAAGCCAATATTTAAAAGATACACATTATTTTTAAATTTGGAGAACAGGTATCAAAGTTGTGTTTAACTTCCTAAAGCTTCACCTTATCAGCTGCTGAATTTTAAGCAGTGTGGGCCCTGTCCCTGCAAATACACTGTAGTTTTTCATTAGTATCTTTGCAAAGGGGTTGTTTTAGCTGAAATCTGATAAATTTCGAGGTCTGGGTGGTGATGCTCTCAAGCAGCAAGAGTAAATGATGCTGGAAGTATTGGAATCAGTCGTGTGTGATTCACCCCGAAGACGGGAGTGTGTATGGTTGTCTGTGGGATTCAGACCTAGGTCAGTTAAGGGGGACTAAATAATGCAGAATACTTTGGGGAAGATGAAAACCAGACAAGTTGTTATATATTGTGCATTATTTCTAACTTAATTAGAATTAAATGCAAAAGTTTGTTCCTAAAAATTTTGTCATTGGAAATCAGATCCTATACAGTAGTAACTCCAAGCTCTTGCTGACTTCAATGAATCTTGGCTTCTCAGCACTTCTCAAGAAAATGTTTATTTCTCCCAGACATAAATGAGGCTTTTATTTATTATCTTAGTATTAATAAGGAGATGTGTTTATATTTTCTTGTTACTGGTTCAGTATAGTTGGATTAATGATGCTATGAAAGGTTGCATGGTGTCAGCATCGTGCAGTGAGCTGGGCAAGCCTCATCTCTATTTTTCAGATGTTTTTGCTCAAATCAGCTGAACTTTGGAACGAGGGGAGTTACTGTGTCCTCAGCACCCAGAGTGCAGTGTAAATCCAATTGGCTAGCTTTGAAAAGATGAAGATGGAATTTTTGACTCGCGTCTCATTTGAACTGTGTTTTAGCTAACTGGCTAAATTTGTTTGTATTTGTTAGGAGTTTTTGTTTAAGTTGTTCCTACCATCCAAAATATCTTTTTTCAGATTTTCAAGATGCAGAGGCATCAAATCCACTTGTTTAGCTTGATGAATTCTTATTTTTGGAGGCAACTCTGATTAATCCTGTTTAACTACTTATTTCTGTCTGAAGTTTTCATCTATTGAAAATAATTTTAGAAGGAGGGAACACAAACTTGCTCCATTTTCTATCAAGCGAAATGAAATATGTTGCTGTAGTGTGGAATGCAGAACACCATCAAGTGGTGCCGAGTATCATTCCTGGGAAGCAGAGGGAAAACAGGAAAAATGAAATGCTTCTTATCGATAGTGAGGTAACTAAAATTTAATGGAAATAACTTATGTAGGCACATTGCAGGATTCCCCCCCCACCCTAATAATGAATACAGTATGTTAACTGCTTCTACTGAAAATACATACCATGACAGAGGATAAATGGGATCCAGCCACTATTACAAACCAATTTTATGAAGTGCCTTGAATTTTTGGATAGTTAAGAAGCTCCCTCTTTGTGACAGTAGGGAGTTCAGCTCCACAGCCTGTGTCTGGCTGAGCGGCCTGTAGGGATGTCGTTCTCTCTGGGGTTTACTGTAGAGCTTGGTGGGGAGGAAAGAAGTGCTTCTTGTAAGCCTAGAAAATCAGTTGTTGAATTTCTTTTATTTTCTTAATTTGATTGAACAAATGCAATGATGCATTTTGAAATATCCTAGACTTGAAAGCCTGTTGTCTTATAATTAGTGTAAGGAAAAAATGATTGTCATTAGTGTTACATGCTTTGGGTTGTTCCTTTTTTTATTATTATTTTCAGCCCAGTGAGCTGTAATGCCTAGTCCCTCCTGCCTTGGGCTGGGCATTGCCAGCCCTGCTCAATGTCACTGATTTATATTTCAAGTCTGTAGCTCTCTGCTAGGAGCCCCTGTGCCGTGGCTGTGCCAGCTACAACTGCAACAGCAGGACTAGGCTGAGCTCCTCTGCCTCTAGCACCAGGGAAACCTCTTGTCATTTTTTCTTCTTTTCTCTTATGGAAAATTCTTAAAATGCTGGTGCTTTGTCTTCCCACTACTGCTAAGTTGCCTTACTTCATTCTCCTTGCTGAGAATGGGTGATTTGTATCAGCAAGATCATGCCCTGTGGTCTGGTGGTGTGTGATAAGCTGTTTCAAATATGCATTTCTTAGACTCCCAAATTGCTTGAACTTCAGTGTGCAAAGTGATGCTTGTCAGCAATTCCTGAATTGGGAGAAACTTCCTTATTTTTTTTTTTTTTATTTTTCCCCATAAGCCTCCTTTTTTTCCCCCCAAGGAATGTGTGGGGGTACAAGCTGGTGCTTACAATCAGCCAGGCTGGGAGCAAGGGAAGAAAAAGGAAATTACGGTCAAATTTGGGGTGAAAGCCCTGATGAACTGAATCTTGAGCAAGGCAGGATTTTGCCCTGTGTTTGGCCATTCTCTATAAGCTCAGCTTTAGTGAAGGTTTTATACCTCCTGCTTAATTGCTTTCCCGGTGAGGCATGGACCTGGCAGCACAGAAGGAACTGTGGTTGGTTTCTACCAACTGTTACATGGTTTATTTGCCCCAGGAAGTTTGGGAGCAGTCCTGATACTCCCAACTGGAATTTGGGTGCAAATGACTGCATCTGAGCAAAGACAGGTTCCTCCACTGCATTCCCACGAGTTGTGCTGGGTCAGAACAAACATATCCTAAAGGACAGTTGTGTTGTCTGGGAAGGTTTTGCTAAATGATTTTGGTATTTACTTTTCTTGATGTGAAAAAAAAAAAAATTTAAACTCAACTCCTGACCTTGCATTGTATTGTACTTAAGCAAGTGGGGACTTTTAATGGTCCCCTCAGAATGTGCGTGGAGTTGAGTGCCCCCTTGGCCACTGCAGCGGCTCCCTACACTTCCAGAACTGCTGTGTAACACTGGGAGGAAAATGGCCCCCAAAAAGAAGGGCTGGGCTGCTATAATCAGTCAGCAAGGCCCTTGTGTTTGCATGGGATCATTCCTGTAGATCTGAGGAGGGTTGAGTTGTTCAAACAGATGGCAAAGATTATTCGTGTTGCTGGGGTTTCAGTGCACTGCTCTGTTTCAAGCATGTTGCCCGATATGACGCACGTGACAAGTTCTTCCCAGCACGACGCTGGGGGGAATGACATTGTCTGTTGTGATCAGGTTTCATGGCCTCACCTGTTGAGCTGCTGAACTTTTCAAAGTTGACCAAGTGTTGGGGGTGACGGATGAGGATGGTGGATCTGCCTGGCTAATCGTGTTAGCACAAGACCGTGTGGCCTGCTGGGAGCGTTGTGCTCCGTGGCATGAAAATGACGGGAATGAAGACCCATGGGCTCTGGGTTTGGGATTTATTATTTTTTTTCTTTTCAAGTGGGCCATGGCAGGTGTCTGTAACACACAGCGAGTTTTGGATATCTCAAGGCACTTCCAGGCAAGGCTTT